GATTTCTTAAGTTACCTCTCAGCAAAATGTTTAAGTTTTCACAATGACGTGTGTATAGTTAACAATGTTCAGAAACAAATAAATAGGTTTGGGGATAAGCTTTGTGGTATAGAACTTACCTCGCATTTTACCTGCACTACCATTGATTGGCTGCCCAGATACAATAGGGGGTATATTTTTTTCAAAACACGTGTAGAATGTGAAAAATTAATAATAACAAATAACGCAAATCATAAGAAAAATATATATTTTTTTAACTCTACCTTTTTACATTAAATACCAATAATTATTATTCTGATTTTATTTCATTTTTATTTTTCAACTTCATTTTTGTTGCTAATATTATATTATTCCTTCTTTTTCAGGTGCCGACGTTGATGTTTTACATGAACAGAATCATTTAAAAGCTTTGTTTTTCACCACACCAGAAATGACGCAGGCACTAAATGATTGGCCTGCGTTTGTTGCTTTTGACGGAACATATTATAAGCTTATAAACAATGCTCTAACAGTTTATATGCATATTCTTAGTTGAAGATGGCGGTGGTAACAGTGAAGTAGCTGGTGTTGGACTATTGGCATCAGAAGATAGGGATTCAATACAATGGTTGTTGGACATATTTAAAACTAAGAAACAGTCTGCTGAAGGGATTCATTGTTTCATGACTGACAAAAACTTACTGCAAAGAAACGTAATTAAAGAAGTTTTTCCTGGAGTAGCGACATATATTTGTTTATTTCATACATTATAGACATTTAATAGAGAGGTGTCTTCTCAAAAGCTTAACATTGGCCAAGCAGAGCAAACAATTTCTTTGGAATTACTTCTTGTATTAGTGTGTTCATCAACAAACGACGATTATAATATTATGTACGATTTATTTTCAAAAGAAGCTCCACCAGCAGTAACAAATTAAAATTATTTGAAGTTAATAAAATAAAAAAACATTAGTACCAACATAAACTAAAAGTAAGAATAATTATAAATTTTGACAACGAAAATTGTATTGAAAATATGACAAATGTAAATTAGAATTATGGTAAATAATAGTTATTTCGACATCACAATTTTTCTTGTAAATGATTGGATTTACTATCTAGATATAATCAATGCTTTAGAAATTTGTCGATGAAAAAAATGAAAAGGAAGAGAGAAGGCCTTGTTTTTAAAAAGAGGGTAGAACATCTGTTAAACCCTAAAAGAAAAATAAAACAAAACGATAAAGAAACAAATAAAAAATTTGTTAGAGGTAAATTTAGTGCATGTAAATAGTAGGTAATATTGGATGAATTTAAAATGGTGATTGATTAGGTATTAAGAGTTTAATTTTCACAAGAGGTAAATTATGATTGACTATAATAAGCAACAAGTTGATTGTATTAAAGTTATATTTGTTTCTTTATTAAAAATTATAGCCTGGTAAAATAACATTAAAACAAGATTTTTTAAAAAAATTTAAATTAAAAAGAACAACTTTGATTGATAGAACCTGCTAAAACTGTTGGTCCCTGAGAATTGCCATGTATTAAAAAATATATAATACATTTAAAAAAGGAGCAAGCCGTGGTACACACTAGTAAGTATAGTTATTTGTATTACTATTGACATAAAAAAGTGGTCAGTAGATTTGACTAGATGCACCTAGGGTTATGTATTTTCGATGCGCTGAATCCGAATTTGAGGTCCATTTAGCCCGAACACCCTCAAAATTTTGAGTAAATTTTTTGCTATTTTTGTCGGTTTTTACAATTTATTCAAAATTTTAAAGGTGTATGGGCTAAATGGATCTCAAATTCGGATTCAGCCTATCCAAATACATAACCCTAGGTGGGTCTATTCAAATGTACTGATAACTTTTTTGTGTGCCAGTATTATTATTAATTTCATTGTTCATATCTCTTCAAAAATGTTTCATATTGGATATCGATTTCTTGTCTATGTAATATACTCTTCCTAATTCACCACCTTACGAGTGAATTTTGATCCCAAAAGCTGAGTTTGTGCGAGGAATGTTCGGCTATTATTATTATTTGTCGTGGCGCTCCGGGGCGACTTATATATGACTGATAGTGCCATTTGACTTAAAGGTGAGGCCAACCAGGAAAACCCCACCCACCTTCATGAAAAACCCCACCCAACATCATGGTCTTCAAGAACATCGCCTCCTGTAAGTTCTGTCACTAGTATATTTTTGCAAATGACATCTATGCATTGTTTGTAAAATATGGAATTATTCCTTACATCCACAAGCTACTTTCTTGAGCAAAATCTTTGACATAGCTGATTCATTTGTGAAAATCGCAATCAATCCATTTTTTAATTTTAATCAAGTTTAAATAACAAATGACTACTTCCCGAAAGATTTTTTAACCATTTCTATAATTAAAAACTCGTATGTTAGGCTATTAATTCCATATTTTGGGTATTACCCAATATTCCTAAGCTATGTTTCTTAGGTGGAACAAACACAAATTTATATGTACTTTTTTAATTTGAGCTTCTAATATTTAACCTTTTTTAAAAGAAATATATTTTGTAAACAAGTATTTTATTTCTATTGATTTTCCGTCATCATTTATTAAGCCCTCTTGAAAATTAAATAATTTTTTAGAGGATTATAACTAGTACTAAGGAAGACCACCGCATCTGCAAAAGTTATGAAAATTGTGCTGAGCGTAAAACTAGGCTCTAGGTGGCTAATAGTACATATTTACGTAGAAAAAAAAACCGTATTTTAAGACTAAAATGTGTATTTTTCAAAGAAATCTATACTACCTAGCATCTACAACGATACCTAGGAAAAACCCCGCATATACCTGCCTTAGCCTGCAGTTGCTGTGTTCATTCTAAGTAAAATGCAATCGCAGTGTTTTCACTAAGTAATTTGCGCATAATCGTCAAACCTATTCAGTTTACTTGTAAATGTTATTGTGGAAACAAGTGTTAGTAATCTTCGAGGTATTTTTATAAAAAATGTTTCAAGAAAAATATAAAAGCTTCTGTGATCAAAAACATTTAAGGTAAATCTAAATAGGAACAAATTACATTTAGTGAGTATTTGCATACAATTTCTCTTTACCTGACTTAGAAACAATGGTAACTGAAGAAATAAATTTTATTATACTGTAATTTTTTTATTTCAGAATATATTTACTCATTCGAAATTAATATATTCAAAAGAAGTAGACTTTTAGTCTACATGGCACAAAATATTTATTCCGATGATTCTAAACCCGAGCTTACTTTGTTACAAAATGTTGAGTGGTCTGATAGTGAGCCAGAAAATGGTGCTTTAGTTTCCATTCAAAACTCCAATGTCAATGAAGATTTAAGGCCCAATAAAATTGAAAAATGTTCAAGTTTTACAGAAAATGGGACAGAGTTAAAATACATTCGTACAAATAATTTAGGTGTTAAAATGCGCCAAGACGTGCTATTCACATCATCAGGGTCTGCGCTTAACAACGCGACTGAACTAGAACCAGCCCAAATGGTCAATGTCGAGAAATGTATGAGGCTGGACTAGAGTTTTTCTACTAAGCCAACTGAGAATTCAACTAATAACAACAAAGAATTAACATTTATTGATCAGACCAATGCAAATATCAATTTAGTTTCAAATGAAGAACCCGAAACCTTGGAAGGTACTAACAAAATTATTGAAGGTATCTAATTTTTTGTATTTTCTTAATGTAACGAAAAAATACAACAGAATATTAGAATTTTAGCAGACGACACGGAAAATTTTGACAATGGACAAGAAATTCACACACATCCACATCAAGAACAAGAAGTTCTAAAACACGATCGGAGAGGGGAACCTTTATAATTAGACCACGAAAATGTAGGTATGCCATCTAAAAAAATTAAGTGTTATTAAAATCTAACATTTATTTTTTTAAAGGTTTTAATGGGTACACTAAGGCGAAAAAAAGAAAAAGATGAAATTGAAGGTAGCATGGAAACAAGGAAAGAAAAGCAGAAAATAAAAAGCCAAAAAAAAAACATTATTTAAAACCACCTGGCAATATAGAAATATGTAAGACAAAATGTATAAACAAAATAAATGAGAAAAGAAATTAATACCATGTATTGTAAATTAAACTGGGTTGAAAAAAAGTAATTTGTTCTAAATTGTGTGTCACGAACAGATGTAAAAAGGAGAATGACTGAATCCGAATTTTCGCAAAGAAAAAACAGTTTTAATCCTTGAATGCATAATGTATCATATTTAAAACACCTCTTATTTATACTACCGCAATCTATTAGCAGTTTCGAGAACTAGAAAACGTATCATATGTGTAACAATATACGTTCAAGCTAAAAACGTAGTCGTAAAGTTTTTTCACTATTTTGCTTTACTATTGTTCGCATTTTGGAAATGAACAGCGGCGCTATTCTTGACATCGTTCGCAACTTACACGTACACGCACAACGAACGGTCTAGTTGCGATCATTTCGCTAATACGCTATTCTTGACCACCGCTCGCAGAAACTTGCGAACATGTGCTATTCGGCTACCGGCAACATTGCATTTTTCTTAGCCCTAACTTCATAACAGTCATATGTCCATGTTAAATATTTGTCAATCATGTCTCATGTCATTTTGATATTCGAGTTTGTGGTGTGTTAAAGCGAAAATATTGTCCGGTTATATATTATTATTTAAATCGATCAAGAAAGAATTCATGAATATGGAAGAAAAGCAACTAAATATAAGAAGAGCTGCTAATGCATCGGCGGAACAAAAAAGAGTTTTTTGGAATTCTTCAAAAAAAATTCTGAACTTGAGTCCGGAAAATTTTCCAATGATTTTTCTCAAAAAGATGCTCAACAACTTTGGCAGGAAGTCACTAAAACGTTAAATAGCTGCGGGGATGGAGCCTATAAGGATTGGAAAGCATGGCGAAAGGTAACAAATCTTATTTCATAGAGATATTTAGAATTATTCTTTTTTTAGACATGGCAGGATATCCGATGTAGAACTAAAAATAAAACTATGAAGTTTAAAAGACGGCTAGGAGGTACAGGGGGCGGCCCTTTCATTGACAATTTTGTTACCCCATTCGAAAAACAAGTATTGGATACAATAAATGTTACATCCATGCATGGACATATAGAAAGTGTAGAATCGTCAACTGCTTTTTCAAATAAGTCTATTCCACATGTTTCCAATTCTAATTCTGGAGATGAAAACTTTTTAATAGATGAAGAATGTGATATGTCATTCGTTACAGAAGAAGACAGTACACAAATAACGGCAAAGCCAAGTACTGTTGTACGAGACCAAAATAATTCTGTAGCTGCAGAAAATGCAAGCATTGCTGCCCCAAAACAGAAACTTGTTCCTCGAGCCACTAGAAAAAAAAAATAGTTTATGCATCACAGGCATCGGAGAATTATAGGGTTTCTTTAGAAAAAAAAAAAAAAACTTAAAGCTGATTATTTTAATAAAAAATTAGCTCTATTAGAGAGAAATGTCATTGCTAAAGAGCGGATTGCAGTGGCAAAAGAAAGATCTGCTGCAGCTAAAGAAACATCTGCTGCAGCTAAACAAAACATTGCAGAGAAAATGGGTGAACTCAAATGTGCAGTGGAATCCTTAATTGATGCAATTTGTTGATTTGTTCTCCATAGTTTTGATTGTAACATTTTTGTTTGTGTAGGGTAATCGATTACCATTCACTTCATTTTTATGTAATATTTTTTTTTTATTTTGAACATTTTCATATGAAATAAAGTAACTATAAAATTTTTGAAATTATTTTATTAACAAAAAGAATCTCAGTAAAAGAATCGAATAGGTACAATTAAAAATTATGCATAAAAAAATTGTTTATTAATCTTTGTCTTGCTGTCCTTCCTGCAGCAAGCTCTGGATTTACTCTTCTTAGTGGTATCTGTTCATTTTCGTTAATATTTTGTTGAAAGATAACCCCAAAATCAATATTTACGGGTTCAGCCTCTGGCATTGGAATGTTATGCTCAATACATATATTGTGAAGTACAATACAAGAATTTATAATTCTGCAGGCCACAGTGGGTGTATAATGTAGTGCTCTATTTTTTAATAAGCATCGAAATCTCATCTTTAGTACTCCATTACAACGTTCAATAATATTCCTAGTTCTTTTGAGCTATATTGTAGGCATATTCTGGAGTATTTTCCAAGGGCTCTTGTTCTAATGGAGTAAACAGCCATGTTCTAAGTGGATATCCACTATCACCTGAATAAAAAAGATTTGATCTTTTAAAATGTACCTACGAATTGTTTTATCAATATCCTTACCTAATAAATAATAATCTATATGCCCATTATTATGCAGGTTCCGCATCAGTTCTGCTAGATTTGAATTTTCCCAACTATAAGAATCATGACTGCTGCCAGGATATCGTGCAACTGCATTAATTATTCTTAATTTGCTGTCACACACCTGAATAATTTAAATATGTAAAATGTTATTTCTATGTCTGTAATATATTTTACTTACTAACTGAACATTTATTGAATGGTATCCTTTTCTATTTACATATATAAATTCTGGAAATTCTTCATTTTCAATTTTTGGAGTAAATATCGCTACATGTGTACAATCAACACAGCCGACTAAACCAGGAAAATTAAAATCTTCATAAAACCTACAAAATATAAATTTTTTCCAAGTTATGTATACGTATTTACATTAAATCTAGGATTTGAATGTAAGCGTATACAAAATGTACAGCTACATAATGATCACTTTATCTAAATTTACGAATAAAAGGAAAAAAATTACATACCGAGTTCTGACTGCATTTAGTTCCTCAAAATTTCTAGGGAAATGTACCCATCTATTAAAATTTGCCGGTTCATTTAAAGCATCAGTAACTTCCTTAATACATCTTGAAACAGAAGATTGGCCTACTGAGAGAAACAATCCCCTTCCAATATCCATCTGGTAACTTCCTGATGCAAAAAATCTTAAAGCCACTAAAACCTATAAAAGTACGATTTAGTATTCTTCACACAATAAAATATTTTTTTATAAAACTTACTCTAGTCGAAATGTTTAAATCGGTGGCTCTTCTTTGGGGTCTCATAAAGGGCGTTAATTCATTAATTAAAAATCTGCATAATTCCTTCGTTAATCTAAAATACTGCACAAATTGATGTTCACTCAGAATATCAAAAGGGTTTAAATTTTGAAAACGGTTATGTCTCTGCAAAGGCTCTTCAGCAATTTCTAAATTTTCAATATCAGCAATATATTGTAAATCATCCATTTTCAACGAAACACTACTAATAACTTTTCATAAAATAGGTTTAATAAACTTGTTTTCAAAGAAATGTGTGGTTAGGTTACATAAAAACATGCACGCAATTAATTTACGAATGGCTGAACCCGCTCGTTGTTTCCTACGAATACTCGAATGTTCACAGTTTAGTTCGAACACTCGAAGTGTACGGATGTGTTTAAGTGGTACCCGATAAGCGATAGATCCCTAAAGATAAGTAACCGGTATTCTTTACATTAATTCACTTTAATTTAATTTATTTGATACTTTGGTAAAGTTAAAAAATTTAGTTTATTTTTAATTCAAAAAATGAGTAGCTCTTCGGGCGGCGAGCCGCCGCCCCAAATTAATTCTGATATCACATTACAAGCAGAAAATCAATTTCATTTCGACCTTAGCAATAGATATCGAATTAACGACCGCGGACCTTACTATGTACACATAGAACACCGAGAAAAAAATATAGGTCGCCTTTTTCCAATTAGAATTGGACATTTTTTGCGGAATATTGATACTTTTAAAAATAACATTGAGGACATTAAAGCAATTGGATTAAACAAAGTTAAAATAATTTTTAGAAATTACGAAATTGCCAACTCCTTAGTTGAACACGATATAATAAAACAAAATAATTTAATAGCATACATCCCCACTTTCTTCACACAAAAAAAAGGCGTAATTAAAATGGTCGATACTTATTTTAGTGAAGATTATATAAAAGAAAATATAGAATCTATTATTAAAGTCATCTCGGTTAAACGATTAAAAAGAAAAACTATTAATGATATTACTAAGGAAATTACTTTTGTTGATAGGCAAATGGTTTTTGTTACTTTTTTGGGAAATACAATACCGAAAACGGTAAAAATTAACATGGTAAATTTCGTAGTTGATCCGTATATTTATCCGGTCGTCCAATGTTTTAATTGTCTTCGATATGGTCACACAAATAAGCAATGTAAAGGGAAACGCAAATGCCAGAATTGTAGTCAGCAAAACTGTTCATCTGAGAATTGTGAAAATGAAAAAATTTGTGTACATTGTAATAGTCCCGATCATACTTCGATATCTAGAGAGTGTCCTATGTATCAAAAACAAAAAAACATAAAATCAATTATGGCTGTGGAAAATACATCCTTTAAGGAAGCCGAAGCTATAGCTAATAACCCATCCTATGCTAAAATAACAACAAAAAACAGATTTTCATTACTTACAACGGAGGAGAATTTTCCCTCCCTTCCAGATACAAGTACTAGCTCTAGAAGTCAAAATATTTTAACTAACCCTAATAAAAAAACAACTATAATAAAAAAAAATAAATTACAGAAAACGACTGTTCTGCCTCTTCCTAAAAAACGAAAATCGTCATCTCCCCTACAAAGTCCTTCAATTGAAATCTATCAGAGTAGACCCTCCTATCCCTCTCAACCAATAACCCCCAACCCCTATAGGGAAGAATATTTAAAATATAAAAACATTAAAGAATATATAATCGAAAACATTATACAGTGTGTTCACTCACTTTTAGTTAATGAACCAACATTTAAAGGAGTTACCAATCAGCTTGATAATAATATAAGAGACAAAATATCTACAATCTTAGAATCAAATAGCGATATGGATTTCAGTGACAATGAATCCGCTAAATCCTCTTACTGAAACATTATCAGTTTTGCAGTGGAATTCTCGTTCCATTGTAAAACAACGCCCTAATTTATTACATTATTTATCAAATAATAAAGTAAATTTTATTGTTTTATCTGAGACCTGGTTTAAAAAACACAGCAATTTTTATATCAAAGGATACAATTTAATTAGTAAAGATAGAAAAGACGAACACGGAGGAGTAGCTATTCTCATTTCTGAAAACATCACATATAAAGAAATTCAAATAAACACGTTATATAATAAAAAAATTGAAGTGTGTGCAGTTGTTCTTGAAAAAACAAATTTAACAATAGTAAGTCTTTAAAACTCATCAAAAAATAACAAAATTACTCCAAATGAATGGGAAAAATTATTATCATTTTTTCAACCTCCCGTACTTATATGTGGAGATTTTAACTGTCACCACACTTTGTGGGGAAGTAGCCTGAATGAATCTAGTGGTAATTCTCTTGTTGACGCAATTGATAATCTTAACTTAATAGTATTGAATGATGGATCTCCTACTAGAATTTCCCGACCTAATTCTCCACCTTCAGCAGTAGACCTTACTATGGTTTCAGCCGATTTAATTGGTAATATTGAATGGGAAGTTCTGTCTGACACTATGGGATCAGATCACTTTCCAATTTCTATAAATATTACAGGGAACTTTAACACGCCTAGTATTAACCCAAGTACAATGTGGAACGATAAGAAAGCTGACTGGTACAAATTTCACTGTTATATAAATAATTTTTTAATAGAAACCGAAGAACCCTGTTCCTTTGAATATTTTTCAAACATATTAACACAAGCTGCCGATCTATCTATGCCCCAAAAAAAACCTTCAAATAATCCAAAAGCCCTACCCATTTGGTGGGATGATGAATGTTTACAAATAGTTAAACTTCGAAAAAATATTCTTAGAAAATATAAACAAAAGGCAAACCTAGAAAATTTTATTGAATATAACAAAATTTCAGCACAAACAAAACTTTTATTTAAAAATAAAAAACAAAATAGCTGGAAACAATTCATAAGCAGTTTAAATAAAAATACACCAATTTCCGAAATATGGAAATACATTAAAAAAATTTCTAACAAAAACTTTACAAGTAATAAAACAGTTCTACCACAGGATCTAATAGAAAAGCTATTTGAACGAATAGCTCCTCCATTTGTAGTTAATGAACCCAAAATATACTCATCAGAAAATTACGAAATACAAAATAATGTTTTGTCTGGCCCTTTTTCTATAGAAGAACTTGATTCTGCGATTAAAATTTCACGATGTACTTCTCCGGGGAAAGATAGTTTCAGCTACAACATGATCAGGAACTTACCCGAAACAGCAAAAAAATACCTTTTAAAAATATATAATGAATGGTGGATAAATGGTAAATTTATTCAGGAATTCAAAGAAACCATACTAATATTCATATTAAAACCAAAAAAAGATCCTAATGATCCCACTTCATACCGTCCAATATCATTAATGTCATGCTTAGCAAAAACATTCGAAAGAATCATAAAATCTAGATTAGAATGGTTTCTAGAATCTAAAACACTACTTCCTCCCTCTCAATACGGTTTTAGAAAAGGCAAAGGAACTGCAGATGCCTTAATACATTTAGTGTCTGATATTCAAAATACCTTTTCAGATAATGGATATCTTGCTTGTTTTTTCGTAGACCTCAAGGCTGCCTATGATTCTGTTAATTTGGACATCCTAGAATCAAAATTAATTTCTTTAGGGCTACAATCAAATGCTTCCGCCAATATTGTACAATTATACAGAAACCGCAAAATTTTTATCAGAGACCACGCTAATAACCTACATGGGCCAAGAATTGTAAACTGTGGAATTCCACAGGGAGCAGTTCTGAGCCCACTACTCTTTAATATCTATACCCTAGATTTGCATAAAATATTTCATCAAAATATTAGAGTTGTTCAATATGCTGATGATATCTGTATATATACAATCCACAAGTCTTATAACCAATGTATTAGTGATCTGCGTTATATAATGTACTGCCTCCAAGGATGGTTAAACGAGCATTCATTGGATTTATCCCCGAACAAATCGGCGGTGATGGTTTTTACACGTCATCGGCTGGTTATGGGGGATACAATCAAATTATGTGAGAATTACATTCCCGTTACAGATAATTACAAGTATTTGGGTGTCTTTCTTGATAAAAAACTAACTTGGAAAATACATATAGAACATATTAAAAGTAAATGTGAGAAAGGTATAAATGTTTTAAAATGTGTGGCTAAGAGGAATTGGGGCGCCGACCCCACAACCTCACTTTTGTTTTACAGATCCTATATACGATCTATAATTGACTATGGATGTATTATTTACGGATCCGCATCCAACTCTAATTTATTAATTATAGACAGAATTCAATTAAAAGCAATAAAAATTTGTTTAGGTGCGTTTAAATCGTCGCCCTCGCCGGCAGTTTTAGTAGAGGCTCAGGAACCTCCCCTTTCAATCCGCAGACAATTTTTGGCCCAAAAGAAAATAATAATGTTAAGGGTTTCATCTTGTGAATACATAACAGATTCCATATATAAACTATCTATCGATAACCTCATAAACAAGTATTGGACATTTAAAAACAGCCCTCCTTTGGCAGAAGCATTTGTTTCTACTAACCACCTAGTAACAAATATTAAAAAATACAGCCCTTTAGTTAATACAAATTCTGAATATTATAAAAAATTTTTTAAACCAACAGTGATTACTAAAAAATTTTCAGATATTCCACTAATAAATAATTTCATTTTAAAAAATATACTTACTAGTTTTGAAAGATATAATACCATCTTTTGCGATGGTTCTAAGTCCCAAAAGGGAACTGGTTGTGGGTTCTATGTTTCCAATCTTAATCAAACATCTAAATTTAAAATATCGGATATATGTTCTGTTTTTACGGCAGAAGCAAACGCAATTTTACATGCGCTGAAATGGATAGAAAATAATAACGCTGGTAATTCCGTAATTCTAACAGACTCATTGTCGGTATTACAGTCTATCAAAAAACATCCTACAAACACAAATTCCAACCACTTAGTAAAACTAATAAGAGAAAAACTCATCAACCTTAAAAATAGTGATACAAATATAGTTTTTTGTTGGGTTAAAGCTCATGTGGGAATAGTTGGTAATGAAATGGCAGATCTCGCTGCAAAAGATTCCACAAACTTAGAGTATTGCGAGGAACTTTACACGGTTCCCGATATTATCAATTGCTTTAAAAAAGAAATAAGAATCAATTGGGAAAAGATCTGGATTGATTTCAAACATAACAATAATTCAAACAATCATTACACACAAATTCAGCCTAATACATCTAATACTGTTTCCCACATTTCTGAATTTCAAGTATCCAGACAGTATTCTATTTACATTACTAGGATGAGGTTGAACCATGGTGGGTTTCCTTCCCACCTATTTAAGATCGGTGTCCTAAGGACACCCTTCTGTTCTTGTGATAATAATTCAGTAGGAGATCTTAATCATTTGATATTTGCATGTAACAACCACAATAAATATAGAAAAAATTTTTTAACGAAGTTATTAGATATAGGGATTTCTTTTCCAACCAATATTACGTTGCTATTGATCTCAAACAATAAAAAAGTATTTAATACATTGATAACATTTATTAAAGAATCTAAAATTAACATATAAACCAATAACAATTAACAATCAGTGGTAACAATTGTAATAAAAATAATAATGTCTGTGGAAAATGGGTTAATCCCGATGCCAGTCAACCACTGCACACACATACTCGAATGTTCTGCGAATGGTCAAGAATAACCATCTTGTTGTTTTACTCGTACATTATGATCTTGCGAGTGACCTTGAAAAATACGAACGGTCAAGAATAGCGCACCAGGTGTGTGCCCGCTATTGTAAACAACATTTTTATTTTACTGCGGATTACGTGTATTTCTTATTTACCGGTAAACTAAATATTTAGTAGCATCCAAGCATGTAAGTAGATCATTTTTTATATATTTTTATTGAATTTTATAGGTATGGAACAAATAATTTGCATTATTTTATGTGTATCATATGTGATACAACATGCACTTGTGCAATATATTTTTCTTATAGAAAATGAGTCGCTGGTGGAAGGAATTTGAAATGAAAAAGCATCTTACTGATGAAGAATTGTTGGATTTGGTCAACATTTCTATAGAAAGTGAAGATGAGGTAGAATTTGAAGATTCCGGAGATGAAGGCATTGCTAAAAGCCTGCGTGATGAACACTCAAACTTCTGAAAACGAAACACTACTGAAAATTCGTTTGAAAATTGGTACTAACAGAGCGGTTCCATCTAGCAGGCTACGTCGTCAAAATAAAATTAGTAAAAAAGTTATTTGGAAGAAAGGTAACTGTAACGGTTTTATTTTAACCAACGAACTAAGGTTTTCATAAATTTAATTTAAACTCAAATACTTTATTTTTACCCTCCAAAACTCTTAAGCCATATATATGAATAGAAAATCGTTTAAATAACTACGTGTATTCTGGTTAGAATCTACTATTTACCTTACATTTGTCCTGTTTTGATTGAGATACTTTTTTAAAGCAATTTTTGTTAACTACATCATGTTTGTTTATTTTATAACACTTCTTAAGACATCATTAAATCATAAATTCATTTCTAAGATATATTTCATTTCTTAAATACTTTGCTTCATGTGTATTTTGCATTTGGAGGCAGATTTTCTTTTATTTTAGGAATTCTGACCTTTTGAACTCAATTTGTATATTAGTAGTAACATCACTGTTTGTATTTTAAATTAATATTTCAAATATTATTGACAATATAATGTTTATTTTGTACTTCTAGTGTCATTATTTTGACATTTAATATTCAACAGGTAGGTTGAAGTTTCGTTGACACGGAACGCTTTGTTCGCGTAATTTGTGCACTGGGACTGCACCGAGTTGTAGTTTCGTGCAAAATATAATTATTATTTTAGTTTTATTGTAATGTTTTATATCAAATTTATATGGGTTTCTCATTTCTTGTAACAGTTAGTAGGATTACATTACGTGAGTAAATTATTATTGTGATTTGGTCAATTCTAGTGTTTCAAGTGTAGTAATAGTAGATATTCTAGAACACTCTGGAATCATTTCTGTTAATAGAGATTTTGTGAATGTTAATTATTAATGGTCAATAGAGATCTGTTAGTTTGTACTACAGATATTGATTTTTATATTACGTGTTGTGATTGGTTAGTATAGGCGTGTTAGTTTGTTGAAATGGTATTAATATTCCATTTGATTGGCTATTAAGGAAGCGAATTTTCTGGATGTCTTGCGCAGCGACAACGACGGATTTTTCGAGAAACTGATTTTTCTAGACTAGAAGCTTTTTGCGTAGAAAAAAAGCGATATACGTTTTTGAAGCCACAAAAACTAAAAGTTGTGCCTAAATAATAATTATATGGTAATTTTGATTAATTTGTGCCATCCAAGTTTGGGATTTTGTGAAGGCGTAGCATGTATTCTAAGTAGTTGTGTGAGAACATTATTTTGTTCGGAAATTGGTTTGGAAGAATTTGGTGTTCAACCACCTAGCTCGTGTTCGAGGAGATTTTCTTGAGGTTTTCAACGTTCTATTTTGGCCACTGGATTCGGATTTTTCCAGTCTGATGTATTTGGATATTTTGTGCATGGTGTTATGGATTGGTGGAGTAATTATTTGGAAACTCTCCTTTCCTAACTTAGGAAACGTGACCAGCATTTATATGCCCACCGCCCTCGCGAAAGAGGTAATTTAATTTATTTAGTTTTATTCTGTTTTGGTCACAATAACCTAGTTTTATTCCAGCTGAGCGCTGAATTTATTTTATTTTGGGGTACTATACATATTAAATTATCATTCTAGGGTTTTGTATTGTTAACTATTAAGGGATGTTAATAATTGTTATATATATATATATATATATTCACTTAGGAGAATGTATGTACATTCTTAGTTACTTTATACTAAATTAAGAAAATGTACCTTCTTTTAGGGTGCACGTTACGGGATACAGTTAGTTTACTGTCTTTTCCTTATCATCGAGCTGTGGCTCGCAACATCGATTTGCTGCGACGTCACCACTACTTCTTTTTGAACTGCCGAAGGCATTGAGAGAAGTATTTTCTCGATCTCCAACAAGCTTGACGATTTATTGGTGAGAACGAGACATTTTCCGATTCCTACTGGAACTGGGCACCATACTCTGAGAAGTGCAGATGGAAAGCACGAAGATGGGCTCAAGAATAGTGTCATTCTGGGAGCTGCAGAATGAGCAGCTAAGTTAATTATTTTCTTTTGTTCTCTTTTTTTTATATGTAACGAAACCTTTTGTTATTTAACATACACTTCAATGTTTAACAATTTCATTTTTAAGTTTATTTTATACCTGTTGGTACGATAATGTACAACAGAAACTAACGCCTGCTTTAACCGTCAAAATTTCACCCTTTTGCGCATTTTAGTCCTTCGCCTTGGATCCAACGCTAACGACGCATAAAATTACATAGTAATCGCTTTAAGAAACTTATGATTTCATTTTGCGGGTAGTTTCTGTATTAAATAGTTAGAATGTTATATCTTTTACTTAAAGATACACATATGTATGTTTAATTCTTTAAATTTGCGGGAATTTTAGTTACTAGATAGGTAGTTTTAGGGAAACACCTATATCATAAGGTATTGTGTCACATTTTCTTTTCTAATATGTTTATTTTGTTAATTTTATAACTAAAGTAAAGAATAAGGCTAAATCACTTAGTCCATTTAACTGGTTTTTGTATTACGTACTGATTATTTGAAGAGGGAAAAATAGTTAATTTATTTTTATAAAATAAAGAAGTGTAAGTTAAGGTATTTTATTCCCTCATCTTTTATTAGATTTAAGATAGATTTAAGTTATTTAAGGCTCAGCTAAATCTAATTGGCGCCCCCCTTTTTTTTGACAATATATTAGTAATCCCAGATTTTTGTGATTACCCACTCCCATCTCCACTTGAGTTAACCGGAGCCACATGGTTGACATCTGGGACAACCTAAAAACTTAATATAACGAAATTAATGTTATATAACATAGAATTCCCTGAATCAGAAAAAGAGTTTCTTGGCGACACAAATCTCAAACCAGAAATATTGGAGCTAGATTCTCCTTATAGGTTCTTCAATTATTTTTTTCAAAATACGTTTTAGTCATCTACTCCTATTTATCTTTCGAAAGATGGACGAGGAAAAGCTGCCTGTAAAAAGAAAATACCTACTGAAGACATTGATAACCATATCGAAAGTCCAACTATATCGCATTATAGAGGTGAGCATGCACCATATCGTAGATATTTGAATCATGAGTTGTTCATAAGAAAACAAATTCAATTCTGCTGATCGTAGAAAAATTAAACTGGTAAAAAATAATATTGCTCTACAACCATTTGGCTTGGCAATTACCCAAGAAGGGGTTGTTCAGAGCCATTACATCGTATTCAATAATATAAAATATAAATGTGATTCCAGAATAAGGTGCTTGGAAGTATTATATAAAATATTTCACGCCCTTAACTTAGAATACCCCACCGAGTACTAGTTATGGTATTTTGTGCAAGAGCTGGTTTTTAAAATGCCAACAAGTAACAAGTCAAGTAATACAGCATCCGTAATTTAGCACTTATATTTCATGCTTGTGATTTTAAAGATTTTGGAAGTAACTCTATTTTTTAAAAACTAATATCAGAGTTAATAGATCTGGAAACAAAAGGTTTAACTATTGATGACAAGAAAATTAATTTTTGTTTATGTTTCATATTAGGAGATAATTTAGGCCTGAATAGTATATTAGATTTTATTGAAAGCTTTCGTGAAAATTATTTCTGTAGGTTTTGCAGATGTACCCGAACAAAAACTCAAACTGACTGTGTTGATATTATGATATTATGAAAAGTGGTCCTTTAATTTATTTTTTTACACTCTAATAATCTAGAACCAAGTCCCTTGCTATAAAAAATCAACTTCGTTTGTCACAGATTTTTTTATCTTTAAAGGGTTTTTAAATGCAAAACAACTGTTTTGACCAACGTGCTTTCCCTGATTCCAGATTTTGATAAAATAATGGGTAATAAAATATACTAATGGTAAAATACGTATAAATGTATTTTACTACCCACTAAAACTAAAATCATTTATCACAAGAAAACAGTTAACTAGCGTCAAATAAACCAAAACTACTTAGTGTTGTAAAGTATACCAATAGTAAGAGACTAATTTCACTAACCACAAGTAAATAGTTCACTAACTGTAGGTCATCTAAAAACTAATTAAACTGTTCACTAACCACAGGTGACTAATTTCAGAAATCTTGTTTTACTAACTATAAGTAAACATTTTACCTGTCCCACATAGTATACAATTTTTTATTTGCGGTAAGTAAAAGTTCTCTAACGGTTAGTGAATTTTTTCCGTGTATAAGTCATTTTGCATATATATAGAAATTATATAAAAGAAATGCTAAATATATATATGAAAATGTAATGTATAAATGAGAAATGCAATCGTTATGTTCTAAATATGTATAGTTCGTGCCACGTGGGTATGTAGTAAGTCGGTATAAAATGGAAGATAAAAATATTGTCAAATTTTTAATTATTTTGAGAAGCCATATTGAATCCGCTATTTTGCATTTATAATTTTTAGTATCATATTTAAAATCAGTGACTCCAAGAACTTCAACTTCTTAGAAACCGTGCAGGCTTAATATACAGACATTCATCTAATGAAAACAAATCTTTGATATTTTGGTAAAAAATAGGAAAAAGGTCCCACAGAACAACCTAACAATAATTATAGTAATTGTGGTCAGATGCATAGTAATGAATGTCCTCCTGTATTTGATATCATATATCATTTTTTTTAACAAAAGAGGTAATGTTTTAAAATATTGTTTAATTAAACAAGTCAGAATGGTAAATGCTAATGATGGTGGTAATAATAAAAATTATTGTAAATCCTATTTTGGAATAAAGTCTATTAATCAGGTCGATAATGTTGATAATAATAATGTATGGTCAGTCAATTTAACAATAACAATAAATAAATCTGAAAGAAAATTCATTTTGAATACTGCGTCAGAAGTCAATGTTATGTATTTTATGTTATTAAAAAATATTAAGGTTAACAGCACAAAATGTACCTACTAATGTGACACTACAGTCTTTTTCTAACAATCTATTACCAGTAATAGGTCGAGTAATTTTTGAC